GTGCCCAAACAGCCATTGTGTCATGTCTACTCTTACTAGACAATGTACAAGAAGATTGTGCATAACTTGGTGGGGGTATTTCTTCAACTACTTTCCGTAAAGCAGCACTACTTTCTATTTGTTCCCGCCTCTTTCTGTAGTACTCCTTTTTTAATTTCTTTCTTCTTCACTTAACTTCTTCATATCCCTATTCTTGATATACGGATATCTGTTAAAATTGAAAACACAATACATGATATACAACCTGGAGTTAAACAATAATACCCAAACCACGATTTTCTATATGTAAAATGCATTCCCTCATATAATTGTCATTCCCTCACTTTCTCATATAGTGAGGGAATGAGCGTAAGGGAATGAGCGTGAGGGAATGACGGATTTGCATAAACGACACGGTAACCAACAGTACAAAACTTCAATTTGATTTAGCATTTTGTGAATGGATTTGATTCCCCAAAACAAGTAAAAAATCATTAACACATTCTAACAGTATAATGACTTACCTTTTAATATAAACAGTGAGGTAATGACACAGAGAAATGTAATGTTTCAATTATTGGAATCCAATACTTTTTTGTAACAACTCTTTTCACTGTTACGAAATTCCGCCATGTTGACACTATTAGCAGTTTTAAAAACATAACAGCTGCATTCAAAAAAATCAAATGGTGTGCCCACAAATCGGATATTTATAATGGATGAGGGAATGATTTCATTCCAAGGGACATAATGACAAATAGATTTTCTTATATACATATTTATTTCTTAGCAATGAAAGCTTGACTATACAATCCATTCCTATTACCAAATATTTTAGTAATATTGAATTTATAAGATTATGAACAGATTTGATTGTAGATATTTTTTTATTATTCATTTCGGACCCAGGGACAAGATGAGGGAATGACCTTTAGACTAATAAATTATTCGAATTTTTTGCTTTTAAAATATTAGTGTAGATACTTATTGATATAATAAAAATGTTAAATTGATGATAAATCCATGCAACTTAGCACCAATGGATCAGGTCATGAATTTCGGAATTTGCTGAGAAATACCAATATAAGTTTGATTTTATCGGCCGTAAACGGCCGAGCACAGTTCGGCCGATAACGGATTATGTGTACGTGAGCCGTTATAGCTACGTGTCGGAGAGTATCGGCCATCTAATCTAAGCATTCTAGTGTCACAATTCATAACAATTTCCCTATAAAGATCTCTATTTGGACTTTCCAAATAAGAAGTATACACTAAGAACCAAATTTTTCTGGCGGTTTGAGTTCATTGTGTACGAGAGATAAGTGATATGTTAGAAAGAGATAGAAGCGGGCTGGATAGCGAAGCTCATTGTCGATATGTTACACTAGTTCTTTGAATAATTAAGATTCATATTGAAAATATGTCGAATCTGTTTAGGACCGACTCCGGATCGGTCCTAACGGCGCTCCATTTTAGGTCGAAATGAAAGGTCAGGATCGCCACAAATTCTGGAACATTGCATCATTGGTTCATTTGATAACACCGCATTTTGTACATTCCCAGGCAAGGTTTTCGCCTCCATGATCATAGTTGAGCGATTTTGGTCAGCACTCATCTAGCGCTCGTAGAGAAGTGTCGTCCTACTTCGAAATGGCCTTCAGGATGTTTTCATTTTATCACCATCGGTGGAACTCAAAGGTAATTCTAAAAGAAATTAAAACACTGAGCTGCACCAAAATTGAAATAAATAAATAATTCTAAACAAAATATTGAATTAAATGTTCAAAAAGACCATCTTCTTGGGTTTGACAGTAACCAGTAACCCAGTCTATTGTAGCAGCCTGAGCGAACATTAGGTATATTCTTTAATTCACCGGTTGAGCTATCGGTGCAACCGGTTAGCCAAGTTTGCGTCCTTTAATTTCCGCTGGAACGACCGGTTGTACATCAAACTTGTCTCTATATTGATGGTGGATATGCGACCGGTGCCAACAGCATCCACCGACGTTCGGGCTCGGTTGATCCACGATATTCTAACCTCTACATTTTGATGAGTTTTTGACAACTACAGTTTTGTGTGAAAAAATGGAAGAAGAGGAGATTGAAGTTAGCAGCATAGGAGTCGCGTGAAATTTAATGCTTTTTTCAACACAATTTGAAATAAACAGAGCATCTGAAAGTAAGTGAATTTGTTTTGAATTATGCATATCGAGAATCTCAAATCAATACCTCGTAAGTCCGAAACTGTCGATTTTCTGACTTTGTTCTGTTTTTATTCTTGTATGAATACAGGAATGCTCTCAGAAAATTCATATCGATGGTTCTTATTCGGGAAGCATCGACGATCTCAAATCAATGCCTCGTATTGATTTGAGATCGTCGATATCTGAAAAATTCTTGGTTTTCTGATTTATAGTTCTTATATTGATTCTCGGAACGCAAATTCTCTCCGCTGGATAACTTCGTCATCAGAATCATCACTCGAATCGCTTAACAAACGTTCCACGACAATACCTACTGTTGCGTACATTTCCATCATGATTTTAAATGATACGGTGTTCAAATTAACAAGTATCCATTTACGATAAAACAAGGGTTAGGTTTCCCATATGACGGCAACCTGAAGGCTAAAAATGCGTCTTTTTATTAACGACCATTCAACGGAACCGGTTGCTGACGTCATCACATCAGCTGTCAACCATGAGTTCACCGGATCCATCAGTGATGGAATCAACCGGTGAATTAAAGAATAGTTTCGTTCGCGGTTCCGATTCGGGATTGATTCTGAACCACTTCGCATGCGCACTTTAAAAATCGCCGTTCGCGGTAAGAAAATTCTGAATTTTTAGTTACAGTTCTGCGTTCGCGGATCATATCGAATTGGTACAGAACTGATTCCGAATTGGTCTTGACAGTTCTCAGATTTTTGGTGAGACTAAAAGTTCGATCCGACTGATCATGCGCATTAGCATCGTTATGGACATTTGACCTATTTAACCTATTCTGTGAAAATCTGTCACCTGTGCTTTTTAGAGCTTGCTGTTCCATACATATGTTTTGTGTGTTCCATCTTAAGTTCTTAAGATGTCGGACCATTTATCGTTTACCGATGATGATTTGGAAGAACTATTGGAAGTTATTGAAGTACCGAAAGCACCTGGAAGCTGTCAATCGAATAGCAGCTTGGCAACAGCACAAAATAGAGGGCAAATTGGCAACAGTGTTGAATACGCAAACGGTTCCAAAGTCGTTCGCGGTAAACGAAAATCTGTAACTAGAATTCTGGATGGTTCAGTTTTAGTTCCGAACTGGTTCATTTTTTGACCCGCGAACGCAATTAATATACCTATTTTCTAGTTTAACATATTGGCAACGCGGCAGATTGCACGACCTTCTGTCATATCTCGCGCTTCTCTCTCGTACACATTGAACTCAAGCCTTCAGACAAATTTGGCTTTCCCTGTACATGTATATATATACAATACTGCCTTGTATGACATTTATGTTTTCGAGATTTAGTCATCCAGGTTGTGAAGTAGGAAATGTACCAGTTCTTTCCGCTAATTAATTTGGCACCTTGCGCACATATTGACTGTTTCAAACAGAATGAAAGCATTCAATCATCGGTTGTTATGAGAACTGAATTTGAAACGAATTAAAATGTGATCTCAAACACCTCCACTTACGTCTTATCCTCCACCACCTACTTTTTCTATTATAATTTGTGATTAACGAATGTCCTAAAAGTTTTGGCACAAAATATTTATCGGATTTTTTTAATGAAGAGATTCATTTAGGTAATCACTAACTAGTTATCATGAATTACATCTCAATACTTAGCTAAACTATACTATCGAATTATGTGGAGTGGCTCATTCTGATGATCTACCAGACGCAACTTTCTTCTAATGTCTCTCATGAGGTCCTGGACGGAATTCAGATCAATTTCTCCCAGTTTTTCGTAGCCGTCTCAATTGTTCTTCATATTGACCTTCCCAGCCTCCATGATAAACCTTCCTAGACAGTAAACCTCTATTGGGCGAGCCTGCGGCAAGTTTGGACGATTATCGTTTTTGGGAACAAAAGGTATGTATGATGTTTTGTAGAAGTCAGTTTTGACTATCTCTTGAGTAATGGCATGATGCTAGGTCTGATCAAAACATGATATGGACACTACCATGATGTTCGTGGACAAACTGAAGCAATTTCTAAAGGCAGTTATCAATATAGCTCTGACTATTCAAAGCTTCACCCCTCACTCTTCCCACAAAAGGTGGAGATACACTCCTGTTACAAATTGCGCACCAGAAAAGGATTTTAGCTACAAATTTCGCTTTATGTTTTTATCTAACATTGTCAGGGCATTCCCCTACGTTGTCCGTATAAAATCCATCGATTCCATTCACTTCAGAATTACTCTATTCTATGTTACAGTTTATGTAATTTTATGGCCCATACCAATCAAACATATGTGTACTCTTATACTCTTAAGCAGTCGGGCACACGCGAGACGTAGATTTGGATTGCTTATAATTGAAACCTACTCGCAGTCGCTGTATTGGTTATTAGGCGTAGGAGAGGTATGGACTGGTAGATGACTGTCGTAACCTCATCACTGTACAAGAAATAAGACAACCAAAGCTCCTCTGTTTTTCAATTAATAAATTAAAATGTCAGGAGATGTGGTTTCAAGTACAGGGGTAAAACAGAAAATACCGAAGTCTTTTAAACAAGAATGGAAAAGGAGTTTCCAGGATGGTTGCAAAGGAGTTTGAATAGGAACCGGTATGCTCATTCTACAATTTTTATATAAGTAATAATTATTAAATAAGATAAAGATATTTAGGAAAAGGTGCTCTCAGAAAACCTGTGTTGTGAGGTTGTGTTTCCGTGCATATGCTTTTTTCATAGACCGCTGCGTGTTACGTGAGCGTGACACAAAAGCCTTTGATCTACTTCTGATGTTGTCAATCTACTGAATTCCAATGATACTATCTATCGATTTAGTCTTTTTCAGTTCGGCAACACTGCCCAGGATGAACGATTTTTGATGTTTCTGCCATGACAGGATTGACAGTTATAGAACTATGGCGATTGTCAGCTAGCAAAATGTCATCGAATATTTGAAGCGAAATTATAGCATTTGCATCAACCACCACCAAAAAAATAATGAATTTATTCAGTGATTCCTGATCAGCGACCCTTAAACAACTTGATAAAATGGTTACTGAAGAATTTATCAAATCTGAATATCCCCTGCATTGGTGTGTCTGGAAAAATGACTACAAGACCCTTGCTGGTCTGTTAGCGAAAAAAGAGGTATGTCTTCCTGCTTGAATCTATAGAATATAATTAATATTTGCGTATATTTAATTCTTTATTAGTCTTAATTCCTTCTGTTTCATTTTTAAACTTCTAGCATGATATTGAGAGGAAGGACAACCGTGGCCGAACCCCCCTAATGTTAGCCGTCACTTTGGGGCATTTGGAATCTGTTAGAACATTGTTAAATGCTGAAGCCAACGTGAATTGTGAAAATCTAAATGGATGGACAGGTATAATTGGATTACTGAAAACCTTGGACATGTTCAAGATTCTGCTTTTAATCTTATTTAAACTTGGGATACTTCTTATTGATTTATTGTTATAATACGATTTTTGTAAAGATGAAATCACTACAAAATGCCTATTATACTTTTCTAAGTTGTGCTTTTCTCAAAATAGATAACGAAAAGAACCCCATTTCTGCAAAGACTATCAGATTAGTAGTAGTTTTAAAAGTAAGTACATAGAAAAGGTAAATGCTTATGTTAGATACTTATTGTTATTGTTATTTTATAGAAAAAGTATCATTGATAATGATTAAGAGAGTAATTGTAGAAATATCAAGGCACATTACAAACTGGTTAATAGTTTATATAAAAATAAATATCTATATCTAATAAGGTAGGAAAACTGTACTTAATATGTATAGAAGATATGTTTATAGGATTTAACTTTAGGGACATCTCTTTATCAGATTTTATTTACCACTGATTTCAAAATATTCATAACCTACCTCTGTTGTTTGTGATCAAGTGCTGTGGAGAGCAGACATAATAAAGTCCTTCTCCTTGATGGGCCCCCAATACCTAGGTCTATAATTTTTCTTTTCTTTTCAACCAATATCAATATACTTTGAAGTTGAGTCATTAATTTTCAGATAATGATTGTAGAAGGAAGATAAACCAAAATATGTGTGTAAAAATAAAAAAAAAATAAAAAAAAAATGTTACCTTGTTTTATAAAGTATCCTCCCGACAAGTATTTCAGTGCGGACCTGCATTTGATCGTGCGGTCTTGGAGCACCGGCATGCTGTCCCCTGTGAGGTATTAAGTCACCTGATTCACGAGCCCTTTGTACTACATTAACAAAGGCACGAGGGGTTGGTTGCACTCGATTGGGAAACCGATCCGCATAAATCCGTGATGCCACGTAAATAAGAATCATGTCCACAAGTTCAGCATTTTCGTAAACATGTGCCATTTTGGATTTCGTTTGAGCCACGCAACAGACACCACTATTAACTCACGCGTTACCGACTGACACTGACTGTATACAACTGAATAAAATAATTGTAAAAACATCGTTCCAAATTCTTTCGCTTTTTTGTTTCCGATGCGATGAACCGATAAGGCGGATTATATCCGTTGTTGCCAAACACGAGCACATAATATTATTATTGAGACAGGGCGGTACTCAAACTTCCAAAGGGCTATAACTTTGTTACTTTAATTTTACCAGAAAAATGGTAAAGGAAAAAAACATTTCTTTTCATCAGATCTACTCACTGTTAAAATAAATGACTCAACTTCGAAGTCACCCTGTATAAATCAGGAGATCAGACACATATTAACAATTATCAACCTATATCAGTCAGATCTACGTAGTCGTGCCATAAGTTCTGTCCCATGATAATCTCATGATAAAAATGAAACAAGATAAGATATATTTATATGAAAGATATTATTTATTCGACAACATTTTTAGAATTCATAATCAAACAGTTTTATTCAAAATGTCCCCCCTTGGCCTTCACACACTGCTTCAATCTCGCGGGCCACTCATCTATCACTGCACGCACAGCTTCCAAAGGAATAGCTGCCGCTGATCGGATCAAATCCGCTTTCAGGGACTCGATATTACGGTGGGCTTTGGAGCAGGCCAACTGCTCTAGCAGGTCCCACAACTTGTAGTCTAAAGGATTGAGGTCCGGACTCCCTGAGGGCCAATCTTCCGCAGCAATGAACTCTGGCACATTGCTTTCCAGCCAGCGCTGCGTACTCTTAGCCTTGTGAGCGGGGGCGGAATCCTGCTGGTAGACCCAGTGTTGGTTGGCAAACAATGTACCACTTAAAGGCTTGACGATAGGATCCAGTATGTCGCTCTGATAGTTTGCCGCTTTTGTTTTCACGCCCTGTTTACAGAAATGGAGCTGAGTGACCCCTTCGTAGGACACCCCCCACCAAACCATGACTGACGCAGGGTGGTGGCCTCTCTCAACTCTCGGAATGATCTCCGAAGCTTCCTGTGAACTCCTTGCATACACTTTGTCATTTTGTCGGTTGAATTTTTCTTCTATGGTGAAGATTTTCTCATCCGTGAACAAAATCTTTCGGAATCCCCCAGCTGCGTACCTCTCCAAGAGCTTCTTGGACCTTGTCGCCCTGATGTGTCGCAAGGTGGCCGTAAGTCGCTGGCCCGTACGTCTCCGGTAAGCCCCTAGCCCTAGGTCTTGTTTAATGATGCGCGACATCGTCCGGACAGGAATCTTCATTTCCCTGGATAGGATCTTCTGCTTCCGGAGTGGATTCCTTTGAATCCTGGCTTTTACGGCTTTGATGGCTGCTGGAGTCCTTACTTGACGAGGTCTTCCGCTTCTTGGCCTGTCATCAACAGAGGACGTCTCATTGTACCGCTGAATGGTCCTAGACACAAATTTACGCGATATTTGAAGGCCGCGTAAGAGTTCAAAAATCTGACTAGCACTGTGATTACACTTATGTAAAGCTATCACTGCAATACGGTTCTCTGCCTTGCCCCACTCCATCGTTATGCTTCGAGAGATCAATACAAACTGAGGTATATGTAATTACCCGAAAAGCGCTTAATCAACTGACACCACAATGTAAACAATCGGACAAGTATTAACAGGTCTACACTTGTTTGAAAACGAGGGACAGAACTTATGGCATGACTACGTAATATAGCAATAATATGTGAAAAAATAATATCTACTTGAATGCTTCAGTTTCTCACTAAATATCAAAGTTTATGTGAAAACCAATTCAGATTTACCTAAGAGAAGTCTACATCAGATGCAGTATTAAATGTTGTTATTCAAATTCACCAAACTCTTGATAAAAAAATTCCTTGTCTTTGTATTTTTGTGAATCTAAGAAATGCTTTCGATACAGTAAACCATAAATTATTGTTAGACACATTGGAGAGAGTTGGCTTTTGGGGAAAAATGCACTCACTACTAGAAAATTACATATCCAACAGACAGCAATCTGTTAAAGTATCAACATTTTTCAGTAACAAAATGTTTATCAAATGTGGTGTCCCACAGGGAACCATTTTAGGTTGACTGCTTTCTAATATAAACCTAAATGATGTATTTTAAATTCACTGTATGGGCAAAATAGTAAGTTTTGCAGGTAACACAGCAGTTCTTTATAAAAGTGATGATTGGTCTCATTTAAAAAGCATAGTTGAAAATGATTCACATTAACATCAAGCTGCAGAATCATCATAGTAACCTCGAAGTATGATATATTATTTACAGTGGTACAAGAAGCAGTTACAAAAAAAAAAGAATCAACATAGTAACCTCAAAATATGGTATATTCCTTTACTTACAGTGGTACAAGAAGCAGTTGCAACAGGGGATCCTGAACTATTACACATGGTGCTGGAAAGACGTGATTATCAAAGATATACTAGCAGAATGGCAGGCATACCTGGACTTTTGCAGAGACTTAAAGAAGCTCCAGATTTTTATGTGGAAATGAAGTGGGAGTTCACTAGTTGGGGTAAACTTCATGCTAAATACTAAATCTAATTTGAATCTTGAATTTCATCTAATTATATCTATTTCTGGTGTATAAATTACTTCATAGTTTTTGCTGGATGTCATATGAAATAAGTAAAGAGCTTCATTAACTGTAGCACATGCATTGCTTAACTGCTACTCACTCTTGCACATACAAACATAGATGAATTGGGTGATGGAAGACCATTATCTTCATTTACTTTGTGAAAATACTCTAATCTCTAATAAATTTCCCACTAAACTGTCGAAATTGTACCTGTATGTTCTTGCATTACTATTTATACAGGAAATAAAAAAAAGGTAAACTCAAGGTGGTGAGACAAAACTAACAAACAATGTCAGTGAGATTACACAAATAAATCTGAAAATAGAGACTGATTCATATGTATTTACTGTGAGCTGCTAAATACCATGCAAATACCATGCAAATACTTACATTTCATTTATTTTTTTGTAGTCCCTCTGGTATCAAGAATGTGTCCAAGTGACACATATAAGGTGTATAAGCAGGGATCCAATGTACGGATAGACACTACTTTGTTAGGATTCGACCACACTAGTTGGCAGAGAGGGAATCGAAGCTATGTTTTCCAAGGACATAGTAAGTCATTTTAAGCTTGTATATGAGATGGGCTAATACAATACTTTTTTAATATTGGAGTCTAGTGTCTACACTTTTGTTACACAAATAATTTCTTCTACCTCTTAATGCTCTGATATTCTGCACATAGAAGACTTGTTGGGAGGCACATATATGCCCCTTTAAAGTATAAGAAGAATAGTATTGACTACGAATAATCCACTTTGAAAGAAAGTAGTTTGCTAAAATAGTGGATCCGTTAATTTGTAAATTCAGGTTTTTACCATGTTGCCATCTTTTGAAACCATACAATCATTGTGAATTGTCATGATTTATGAAGGGCGTCTCAATAAGATCGCCGGATTTGAGTTTCAAGAAAAACACAATTTCTTTTCGAATTAAGCGAGTATTTATATTTCAACATGAAGAGGAATCGTTGTGATTAAACATGAAATATGACACCTGGCTACCGCGAAACCTCTGGCACAGTGTAAAGTCTTTACTTAAAATTCTGGATAAGGTTTTCGCACAACTGTGGGTCTATTTCGTCGATAACGCGCCGTATCTCTTCTTTAAGGCGTTCAACTGTTTGTGGCTTGTTCGCATACACCTCTTCCTTCACCCAGAGGAAGAAGTCCATTGGCGTTAGATCGCACGATATTGGTGTCCAATTTTGATCGCCAAAGAGATGACATGGTCTGGAAACTTGGTCCGCAGTAACACCATTGTTTCGGGCGCTGGATGGCAGGTCGCACCGTCTTGTTGGAAGAACATATCCACATCAATTCGATTCAAATGGGGCCAAAAAACTTGGTTAAAATTTCGCGGTACCTCACACCATTAACAGTTACCGTAGTTCCAGCTGCATTTTTGAAGAAGTACGGTCCAATCACTCCGCCACTCCACAATGCGCACCAAACGGTAACTCGCGGTGGATGCATTGGTTGGTTGTTCGATTGTTACACGAGGGTTTTCAGAACCTCAAATTCGGCAGTTCTGCTTATTGACGTACCCATTCAATTGAAAATGTGCCTCATCAGAGAAAATGATTTTCTTCGAGAAATCCGCAACAATTTGGTGGTGCTCCAGCGCCCAATCAACGAATTCACGGCGCTGCGCCATGATGGTCCGTTGGCTTGAGTCTTCGTCAGTTGAACCTTGTACGTATGCAAGCACAGATCTTTTCTCAAAAATTCGTCGTTTGTCTGGTAAGGCAAGGCGGGCACTGAGTAGTGTGGTAGTGGTGAGGTATTGGAGTCGGTGAGAGGCATAGGGATGGTAAAATTTGGCGTGGCGATCGGAATAGCGGCGAAGTGGTATGAAAGTGATATAAAGCGCACTGAAGTGGCAAACAAGTCAGTTGACGTCACCGGTTTACCATGTCGTCCTCAGAAGATG